TTGAGCCACATCCCCAGCCCCCTAGTTTGTATTTTATTTAGAGACAGGGTCTCACTGACTTGCTTAGCCTCTTGCTTCTGCTGAGGCTGGCTTTGAATTATACCAATCCTCCTGCCTCAGCCTCCATAACTGCTGGGATTACAGGCATGGGCCACCATGCCTGGCTTTTTTTTTTTATATATATAAGTAGAAAGAATACACTGTAAAACAATGATAAGAAAGTATAGCAAATATATAAACCAATAAAATAGTCTTTTATTGTCATTACAGAGCATTACAAACTGTATTCAGTTGTATATGCTATGCTTTTAGATGACTGGTGAAACAGATTTGTGTACACCCGCACCACCAACAGATGTGTGGGGAATGCTTTGCACCATGAGGTTATAATAACTATGACATCACTAGGTGATAAGAATTTGTCAGCCCTATTAAAATCGTATGCGACCACAATTGCATACACCCTCTGCTGTTAACTAAACCTTTGCTATGCAGAGAATGACTGTATTCTTAAGTTAGGAAACGTGTTTGTGTCTATTATCTCTTCACAATTGAGGTGGATAGGACGGGCTCAATAGTCCTATCTAAAAGATATTGAATCTGATCCTCAGGAAGCTCTAGAACTTACCCTGGATAACACAACTATTTTTTAAATTTTTAAAAAATTTTATTTATTGTTTTAGTTGTAGATGGACGCAATGCCTTTTTTAAAATTTATTTTTATGTGGTGCCAGGTGCTGCAGTCTGGCTGGGCACAAAATAACCGAGCCGCCACGAGGCACTTGTAGGTTCAAACAGGAACTACTTTATTGCCCGAACTCCACTGGCACTCCACGCGCACTCCCGGGGAACTCTCACAGCTCTCCACCAGGCTCCTCCGGAACTCCGACGAACTCCACCCGAACCCCGCGAAAACTCAAAGTAAGCACCCCCCCCCCAGGCAGCAGGAGCCGCCCTATTGCGGGACAGCAGGGGTCCATATACAACTGAATACACAGCCTGTTTCAATCCAGCATCATCCAGTCACAGCAATTATACACAGCTTAACTTAATTATCATCATCTTAATAGCTCACTGGCGTCACCTCTCAACCACTCCTTCAGGCACCATCCCGACTTGGCTGTGGCTCTCAACAGCTAGGGATCGAACCCAGTGCCTCACTCACTCTTGCTAGGCAAGCGCTCTACCACTGAGCCACAACCCCGGCCCCAACACAACTGTTGAATGCCTGAATTCTCTAATGTGCAAGACTCTTTCTTTGATCCCATGCTGTTTCTTGGGTACCATAAACAAACTCACTTCTTTTGATTTAACAGAACTTGGGTCTTCAGATGCCTTCTTTGAACTGGGGAGRGTCAGGCTGAATTCCAGTTCCAGAATTTACTGTGATCTCCAAGAGGAAATGTCTAGAAAGGTAAAGCTCACAGTGAAAAGGGTAGGCCTGAAAGTAGCTGTAATTAGAATAGGGCAGTACAATGCTTTAAAGCACAGTCTTTAAATTAAAAAGCAAATAAACAAAAAAGTCCTGGGATCTAGTTCTACTGCATTCTAGCCGAGTGACCACGAACCATTTATTTATTTTTTGTCTGAGTTTCTGTTGTCTCAGTTATAATACATGGGCCGTACAAAAAGTATTTATGTCCCCAGATTGTTGGAATTCACTGATACAATGAATTCCAACTCATTTAGCAGCAACTACCACATAGTCATGAAAATAAGTATAAGCATTGCTATTTCTGTTCACTAAATGGCTAGAGGCCTGGTCTATTAATAATAAGAGGTGGGAGTTAGTTCTGGCTGGGTGACCTTCCACTTTAGCATTGTTTTTATCTGTACTATAAATAGGAGAGAGGGGAATGGGAACCAGTCACCTTCTTCTGATTCCTTGCATTGTCATATGTAAAGACGCAGGTGTTCAACATTCCAAGATTCCATTGACTTCTTGAAGTTCTGTTTATTTCAAGTCTCTATGAGATTCAGATTCTGACTCTGAGATCCTCTTTCTTGGATTCCAAGATGCTAAGACTCACCCAAAATCCTGTTGAAAGATTCTATTTGCATAAGACATTCACTCTGCATGGAATCAAAGTTCTTCCAAGCCTGGGTGGGAGCAGCCTGCCTCACTAGCTTTTGAAGTGGGTTTCTTCTTAAATAGCAAGGATTAGAAAGGAATTCCATTCTAATCCATCCTCCAACATACTTTACACACTCCTTCTCATTGTTTTTCTCTTTTAATTCTTTTTTTTTTTAAATTATTATCTTTTGTGTATGTGTGATGCTGGATTTGAACTCAGGTGTGCTCTACCACTGTACTACATCCCCTGTCCTTTTTACTTTTTATTTTGAGACAGGGTCTCACTGTGTTGCTGAGGCTGGCCTTGAACTTGTGATAGTCCTAATCCTTCTGCCTCAGTCTCCTGAGGTGCAGGGAAGATAGATATGCCACATCTTTTTTCTTTTACATCATAACATAGATCCCAATGGATAATTATATTTTTATTTATGACTTTAGTTAATGACTTTAGTCTTCTTCATATCTCCAGTCCTTGGTAAGATATAGACAATAATAAATATTTAATGGATAAAAGCTAAATGATGGCCACGCATGGTGGCACATGCCTATAATCCCAGCAACTTGGAAGACTGATGCAGGAGGATTGTAAATTCAATTCCAGCCCAGACAATTTAGTGAGACCCTGCCTCAACATAAAAAATATAAAAGGGCTAAGAGTGTAGCTCAGTGGTAGAGCATTTCTGGGTTCAATTCTTAGTACTGAAAAAAAGAAAACCAAATGATAAAATGACAGTTTATTCCCGAGACCTTCTATTCCAGACACTCCTCACCCGCTGACTTACCTACCCCAGGGTTGGCACCTGGAAAGATATGACCTTTCAATTTCATGAAGTTGCCTGGACCATTTATGTCCAGCTGCTGTGTTCCCCACTTGCCTGTTATTTGGCCCCTTTGGGAGCCCTTGGATTAGAAGAAAAGTCTGAGCTATGTCCAGCCGCTCATTAATCTTCTCAGCAAATATTTGCCCAGTGTCCTCAAGGTGCCAGGCACTGTGCTAAGACACTGGGGATGTTTGGGACAAAGCTTAAGCAAAGTAGACTTGATCCCAGCTTTCAGAGAGCTCACATCGTTACTTCCTAGAAGGGCTGGGCAGACAGGCATTCAGGATGTGATCACCTAAGTTGTTGTACAATTTCAAACTTTAACAAACACAGCAAGACCAAGGGTCTAGGACAACAGCCCATGCTCTAGACCCAGACCTTGGGTTCGGGGGCATAATGGTGTGTTCTCCAGGGCCTTCAGCATGTCCTGCATCACTCTTATCAGGGATTCATGGATACTTTTCTTGTGAAATCTCTCCCCTGGGAAACCATCAGCTAGAACTTGGGTTCAAAGCCAAGCTCCCAGCACTTCTCTTGAGCCTGTAGAGCCTGTGTGGCCAGAAGCTCAACCTCTCAGGGTCCTTCCCCTCCTTGTGGGACTCAGCCACTGAAAAATGTGAAAGCCCTGGAAAGCCAGGGTGTTCAACACCTGTCTTGAACTCCTGGGGAACGTGAGGCCAAGAGGGGAGGCTGCACATGTTCACCCAGCGAGTGGCAAAGCAAGAACTGGAGCCCAAGCCCAACTCCCAATTATCTCCTGCTTTCTACCTTATTCCAAAAATGCCCGCTGATTTCATAGGGAGGGATCCCACTTCCACCAGGACGCTGGAGGTTTTCTTCTTGCTACAGGCCATAGTTAGGATGTAGCAAAACTGCAGGAGAGCAAGAGGCTCAAGGCTACATTTAAGGGAGTTGAGCTGTGGTGTTTACTTCAGTCATAAACATACAGGAGGGAAAGTTGGTCTAGAGGCATGTCTCCTTGAATAGCATTCTTTCTTTTAACATTTTTTTTTTCCAAGAAAACTGTAGCCATTTGAACCTTGAAATGCCAGTTCATTCTCATTGCCACATTGTTTTCAACTCCAAAATATTAAAGCAACCTCATTTCCCTTTGATAAGGAGTGGACAGACTGTGGCACAGCTAAATCATAGAATATTATGGAGCACTTACAAAAGAAAAGAGGTATAGCTTCATGCAGAAGCAAAAACTCCCTGTTGAGTGGGAAGAAAAAAGCAAGTTTAAGAAAAATATGTATGGCATCAAACCATTTACAGAAAAGAAAAAGAACTTATAATACTGTACATATATACAGATACGTATATATAAATGCAGAAAAAGAGCTGGATGCAGTGTTGCACACCTGTAACCCCTGCTACTTGGGAGCCCAAAGCAGGAGGATTTCAAGTTTAAGTTTAGCCAGGACAACTAAGTGAGAGCTTGTCTCAAAATTAAAAAAAATATATATATTAAAAATAAAAATGAAAAGGGCTGGGGGTGTGACTCAGTGGTAAAGCACCCTTGGGTTCAATGTCCAGTACGTGGGGGTGGGGATAGTGCAGAAAAAATTCTGGAAGATATCTCAAGACAATGAGAAAAGAGGAGGGCCTCATGTGGGTAGGAGGTGGGTTGGTCCAGTGGAACTTAAGCTTTATCAGCTTTTCTTTTTTATTTTTTTGAGAATGAATTTTATTTGTTTAAGTGAATTTATGTTTTAGAAATACCATCTTTTAGTGCAAGGTTCAACAAACTTTCTGTAAGGAGCCAGACAGTAAGTATTTTAGGCTCAAGGGGCCACAAGTTCTGTTGCAACTATTCTGTTGCTGGAGTGCACAAAGCAGACACAGACAACATATCAAGAATGACTGTGGCTCTGCTCCCATAAAACTTTATTTATGGACACTGAAATTTTAAAATTGAAACATTATTATTTGTTTTCGGTACTAGAGATTGCACCCAGGAGTGCTCTACCACTAAACCACATCCCCTGCCCTTTTTATTTCTTATTTTGAGGCAGGATCTCACTAAGTTGCTGAGGCTTGAACTATGAATCCTCCTGTCTCAGCCTCCTGAGGTGTTGGCAGGTATGTGCCACTGTGCCTGCATATAATTTTAACTTGCACCAATTTTTTTTTCCCAATCATATAGGTTATGTCAAAGCAGCTTGCTAGCCGGCCATATTTGGTCCATGGGCATCAGCCTACCCCAGCCTCAAAGCTGGTTCAAGCCCCACCTCCCACCTAGCCACACTCACATATTTTATCCCCAGGCTCCCAAATGACCTTCCTGTGACCCTCAATGGCCTCTCCAGCTCTCTCTCACATACCCCATCTGTCCTTGGGGACCCTCCTTTCCTGCTGCAGAACTGTTGTTTTTCTAAGCAGGGATTTGAATAGCTCCATTCGCCTTGGCAGGGGGAACTCAGAGAAAGGAATTTCATTTGGAGTCCTAAAGAAGCCAGGACTCAGGACTTTGATTTGCCCCCTCTCCTCCCATTCCAGGGGTCCCTGGTCACTCCCCTGCTCACACCCTGCTAGACCCAACAGTCTTTGTCTCTGGCAATCTCTGCTACTACACCTGCATCTCAGCACCAGGCTGCACCAGCACGGACCCCAGAGCCATGCTCCTGGCCTGTTGCCTACTCATCAGTGTCAGGTATGAACATCTCTTTCCATCTTGGCAAATCTTTTTGCTTCCTGGACATCCTGAGATCCCTTGTATCTGATTTTCCCAGGAGTGCACTGTTGACATCATGGGAAGGGTGAGGAGCCCTGGAACCCACTTCTGAGTTCCAAGCTCAGCACCTTCACTCACTGTGAGGTGCTGCTAGCCAGGTCCCATTACCTCTCTGAGGTCAGTTTCTATCTATACTTGTCAAGGATGGGCTGGCTGCTTTTTGAAGCCTTTCTAAACCTAACAGGCCTCTTTGATCTGAAACTCAGATGTTCTCATTTTAATTCTTGCAAAAATCTGTCCCTCATTCGGTGGATCAGAGAGTGTGGGATTCTGGAAACTGATAGAACAAATACTTGATCTTTTGCTCACTGGAAGATTTAACAAGACAAGTCTCTAAGACTCCATGTATTTAAAAATAAAATGGGGAGATTATAATTTCAAAATTATAGGGTCACTCTGATTAAATGATATATTCATATATGTTTAGTCTAGAGCTAGTGCATATGCTCTAAATAAGTGGTAGCAATGTTATTTTAATTTTAAAAACCCATCACACTAAATTATGTAATCCCTAGAGTCTGTGTGTCCCCTCTTAGGTTCTTTAAGCATCTACAATTTTGCTTATAAAGAACAATAGTTTTAAGGTTCCATCAGGGGCAAGGCCTGAGGATTTGTAGCCTAGAACTTGATAGTAGATTAGATTCCTAGAAGAGGTCAAGGCCTCAGAGAGATATCTCCTCCATCTCTCAGCTTCCAGCCATCCAAGGAAGAGGCGGGGGTTGTGTTTGGACTAGGATTTAGAGAGATGTTGTTAACCCAATTTCCTCCTGTAGATACTGTGTGGTCATTGGCAATATTTCTACCTTGTGCTCTCAGATGATCCTTAAGGGGCTTCACGTGGAAGGGAAGAGGCAGGTACCTGCGGGGCTTCGTCCCAGTTGAAGAGTAAAGAGCCGCTGGCACGCCGGTCAGAGTTTTTTAGAACTTCAGCTATCAAAATGGGCAGAATTTTCCTTGACCATATTGGTGGTACCCGTCTGTTTTCTTGTGCACACTGTGACACGATCCTGACTAACAGCTCAGAACTCATCTCCACTCGGTTCTCAGGTGCCACCGGTAGAGCATTTCTTTTTAACAAGGTAGTTAACCTACAGTACAGTGAAGTTCAAGATCCAGTCATGCTCACTGGCCGCCACATAGTTCAAGATGTGAGCTGCAGGGGCTGGGGATGTGGCTCAAGCGGTAGTGTGCTCGCCTGGCCTGCGTGTGGCCCGGGTTGGATCCTCAGCACCACATACAAACAAAGATGTTGTGTCTGCCGAAAAACTAAAAAATAAATATTAAAAAAAAAAAAAAGATGTGAGCTGCAAAAACTGCAATAGCAAACTGGGATGGATCTATGAGTTTGCTACTGAAGACAGCCAGCCTTATAAGGAAGGCCATGTGATCCTGGAATGTGCTCTAGTTCGAGAGTGTGAGGGCTTTGAGGAGCACGTACCATCTGATAACTCTTGAAGAAAAAGAGATAAATCCGTCTTTTTCCAGGTCTCCTTCACTGAAAACAAAAATCTGCTTACATACACTGTCACCTTAGCATCAGAGTTGGATTCATGAACTGTGGAACAAGAGGTTGTGAGAATCTAAGATGGAACCTTTCTTTTCTTTTCTTTTTTAAATTTTGTATTTTCCATCCAACAGCAGTGTGTAGAGAGAATATTATGCAGTTGCTGTTTTTTTTTGTGTGTGTTTACATTTTCAGGCAGAAGAGTCTCTGCTGCTAAATGGTGGGCTATGAGAGGAAAAAAATCTGGGCTATTAAGAGTGAAAAAAGTGTGTTTTRTGTAAATTTTGAATGGTGAATATGCCAAGAGCATGGTTTTTAAACTTATTTGGGCTTCATTTTAAAGTCTTTTCTTAAAAAAACAAACAAACAACAACAACAACAAAAAAAAAACAGTTATTTCACTTGATTTGCTAGCTTCAGAGAAAAGATCCGAATCTGTGCCCAGCACTAAAGGCTCAGTGTTAGCATGGCTTGTGCTGGCCCGTGTGGTGTGCCATATTCTTGTTGGAGATGAACTGTAGCACCAGAGCCCATTCTTCCTTGTCAATCTTGACCCAAAGATGTCACTATTCCTAGTTACTTGTCACCACATAACTGGTAGTTTATGATTGGAACCTTTTTCTGAAATGGGACAGAATTCTTGGTTGTCTTTTTCCATGTAACTTAAGCATAGTAATATAAATAAAGTAATAGTTGGAAAGAAAGAAAAAAAAAAAAAGAAATCCTGTGATGTACCTTGAAAGGCCCTTTCCTGAGGTCTGGCAGCTGGCTCAGCCCCAGGAGGTGGAGTCTCTGCTAATGAAGATGCATTTGCAGTCACCCTGTAATTGGGGCTTGTTGTGGGACCTGTCAGAACCAAGGCAGCACAGATCCAGCTCTGGGAGCCACCCAACACAAACCCTGGTCAGATTTCAACTCTAAACCCAAACAGGAAGATGTCCAGAATCCAGAGACTTCCTTCCTGCCCAGCTTCTTGAATTCAGCCTTCCCATTTGGGCAATCAGAAAGCCAGCCAGTGCTCCCAACCCCTCCCTTTTCCTTCCCTCTGATTGACTTGCTTTTATTTCATGAAAGGCCCCTATCCATGAAGTTTTGGCTATTAAAGACTTGGTTTTATATTTTGTTTGTTTGTTTGTTTTTGTTTTGTTTTTGGTACCAGGGATTGAACACAGGGGCACTTAAGCACTGTGCCACATCCCCAGCCCTTTTTATTTCTTATTTTGAGACACAGTCTCGATGACTTGCTTAGGGCCTCTCTTAGTTGCTGAAGCTGGCCTTGAACTTGTGATCCTCCTGCCTCAGGCTCCCAAGCTGCTGAGATTACAGGCATGTGCCACTGCCCCTGAGGTTTTATATTTCTATTTTTAAAAAAATATACTATTTGTGGCAGGCAGTATAATGGCTTCCCCAAGATGTGCACATCCTAATCCTCAGAGCCTTATGTGGCTTGTAACAGTTAAGGCTGAAGACAGAATTAACTTGCTGGTCTACTGACCTTAAATTTGGGAGCATGTGGTAGGTTATTCATTCAGGTGGGCCCAGTATAATGACAAGTGGAACAGGGACTCAGAAGGGAAAACCAGAGATGACAGCATTTGTCCGGTGTTGCTGGCTTTGAAGATGGAGAAATAGGGCCATGAGTCAAGGAAAATGGGGGCTTTCTAGAAGCTGGAAAAGGCAAGAAACATTTTCCTTAAGCCTCTAGAGGGAATAAAGCTCTGCTGATCTTGATTTTAGCTCAGGAGTCCCTTTTCAGATATTTCACTTCCACAACTGTAAGATAGTAAATTAATGTTGTTTTAGCCACCAAGTTTGTGGTAATTTGCTACAATAGCAACAAGAAACTAATAACACTGTTCATGATGACAGCTATTTATTGAATTTCTATTATATGCAGGGCACTGTGTTCTAAAGGCTTCATGTACTTTATTATCTCTTTTAATACTCATAATGGTCCTACAAGGCAAGTGCTCTCACTCTCATTTGTGACTGAAGAAAACGGGGATCAGGGAAATTTGTGATTTGGCTAAGGTTATGTAGCTAGTTTGTGATGGAGCAGAGATTCAAAGTCTGGCAGCCACAGCTTAAAACCCATGATCCATCCATTCACTGGGCTCACCTGCCCTTCTCTAGCTACCTCCTTAGAGAATTTCTATTTTTAGAGGTCAGACACTAGCGTTCTTGGTCACCTCATTAATATGGCGAGTCCAGTTGTTCTCTGGGAGGCTTAATTTTTCAACCTGCAAGAAGCTGGTAATGGTGTGCACTGGGTGCCATTTTGGGGCTATGAGAAGGACTAAACCAGAATGTGGGTGGGAAGAGGCTCTGTGAATTGTGAAGTGCTCTCTCCATGTGAGAGATTCAGAATAAATTTTTATCCAGACTATTAAAAATTTCCTAAAATGATTGTGACATTTTTTTTCTTTCTCTAAAGCCAGGTATGGATTTCAGGATAGAGGTCTCCAGCAGGCTCTTTGGGGAGACCTTTTGAATTGTGAAGATCAGAGGACTTGGGTTTGAAAGCAGTGGCTTGGACTGATTTAATTTAGCTGATCTGCAGACATTTGTGGTTTGGGCCAGGACAGTTGCTGTAATTTCTCTTATTGTTGCCCAAACAGTGCCCTTGCTCCAATCAGGGAGAACAATGATGTCATCCTCACCAATGATGGGGTAACCCAAGGCTTTCATGATGGTATTAGCATGAAGGTTTAAGAAGATGTTTCTGATGTTGTGTGTCAGGCAAATTAAGAGATGTGGTGACAAATTGGGGCAACCGTGAGGGTCCAGAGGTGCTTAGTGGTGTTGGTAATGATGTTAGAGAGAAAGGGATGCATCTGGGAACTATTGCGCCCCCTTCTTTGTATGAAGAAGGCATCTGATGGTCCAAAAAAGAGTACATAGGGAAGATGCCAAGGAGCTCAAGGGCATTAGGGATTACATTTGCCTGGTGTGGCCAAGGTCAGTGGGGAGCAGACGGCCCAATCAGAAGTTGTGCCTGAAGCCAGGGCATTCGGCAAGCCAATCAGAAACAGTGGGTGGGGCCAATATAAATCCTAACAGTTGTTGGAAAGAATAGAAAAGATTGGGCGGGCAAGGTGGTGAAAGTCAGGAGGACCCTGAGCTAACTAAATGCTGCGCCCGCCCCCACCGACTTGTGACGTTCTGAGATTCTGTGACTAGTTTCATGGAGGGAGGAAGAGTCCAACTTTGTCCAGCTGAAGAAATGCAAGACTCACAGTAGTCGGCAGTGATTCTTACTTAAATCCAGTATTAGGGTAATTATCCAACCTAGAGGTTCCTGTCCCTCACTGACCACCAGCAAGTTAAAAACAGATTCCTGGGCCCCACTTCCATTAGGACTGACTGGATGGTGTGTGGACAAGCTCTGTTGGGCATCTGAAATCTTCAAGCAGATGTCAGAAATAGTAGCCAGCGCTTCCCAACTCTGGCTGCATGTTAGCCTCATTTGCAGAGCTTCCCCCCACCCCCACTCAGAGGCAGGCTGTTGATTCTCTTGGTCTGGGGGTGAGGCCCAGGAATCGGTCATTTAAAAACCATCTCAAGTGATTCTTATGTGCAGCCAAAGTTAAGAATCATTGTATTTGTCTAATTTTGGAGCCACTTCACCCCAAACAGAAGCCACTAAACAGATAAGWCTGTTTTAAATGAATGAAAATGAAATAAAATTAAAAATCAAGTTCTTCAGTTGCACTAGCTATATTTCAAGGGCCCAGTAGCCACATGTGGCAAGTTGATCATATTGGGCAATACAAATACAGAATGTTTCCAGATGATTCCTGCACATCGCACCATTATGATTCCAAGAGTCTGATCTAAGATTGTGTTGTTAAAAGTATATTGAAAGAGTCTGATGAATTTTTGCTTCCCATGGTTATTCAATATCTCATTTGCTTCTTATCAGCTCTACAAAATAGGCCAGAATAGAATTATTGCTCTCCACTGACATATAAGAAGAAACAAGTCTCACAGAAAGAAAGTGAGTAGCTTAAGATCCATAGGCAGCAGAATCCTTCACTTCAAGTTCCTATAATATTTTCACATAGAAGGCTCCTTAGAGAGCAGAAAGTCTGAATCCTTGTTGTACAAAATGAAGACCAGGCCTAGTACAGTGGCACATGCCTGTAATCCCAGCAACTCTGGAGGATGAGGCAGGAGGATTGAAATTTGAGACCATATTGGGCAAGTTAGTATGACCCTTTTTCAAAAAAAAAAAAAAAAAAAAAGACCTGGGGGTGTAGCTCAGTGAGAGAGCATCCCTGGGTTCCCAGAACCACACACAAAAAATTAATAATAATTAAAAAAAGAAGATCCTATAAAACAAACAAAACCAAAATGAATGCAGGAGAAGAAAAGGATTTGTTTAAGACATATATAGACAACATTGGGACTAGCAGGCTTGTCTTTACATTCTCAATCCAGGACCCCTTATGAGAGAGGAAACGTGGAGAATGGGGAAAGGCAGAGAAAGTGAGGTTTTCAGGCCCCACAGGGACCTCATGCTCCTCGGTGGTGGAAGTGCAAATCTATCCTAGGCTTATTTTTCTCTCCCTCATTCTGAGACCCACCGGAGCTCTTGGTACCCACAAAAGACTACTACCAGGTGGTGCAGCTGCACACCAATCAGTCAGCACTGCTTCCCTGCCAGGTGACCAACCTCCTGGCCCAGGTGACTTGGTACTGGGAGTTCCCTCCTGAAGAGGTCCCAGTGGATGGGACAGACATCTCCTTTGATGTGAAGAAGTGATTCACCATCCACTGGCTCTGAGCTTCCTTGGCTGGCTTTCTCTTCTGCTTTGGCCAGCCTAGGTGGCATGAAACAAATCTCTACCAAGTACATGCTAATCTACATCAACTGTGCATGAACTTAAGTCCCCGAGTGGTCAGGGAACGGAGGGATATGGAAAGAGAACCCTTGTTGTACCTTGAGAAACCTCAGGTCCAGAGGGTGTGAATTATGATGCTCTAAACAACCCAATGGCTTTTAACAATGCTCCATGTGATTAACGATGTTGTCCAGAACACCTTATTGCCCCATATAACAGACAGCCAACCAGCCATCAATCTAGGCTGCATCAATTCAGCCTGTCCATCATCTATTGTCAATCAAGTCAATGGATTCAATTCCTCCGTCCTCTCTCAAATCAACCATTCCATCCATCCATTCCCCATCAGGTCAACTATTCCTTCATCCATCTACTCTCTATTAATTCTTTGTTTAAAAAACATTTTTTGTAGTTGTAAATGGACAGAATACCTTTATTGTATTTGTTATGTTGTGCTAAGGACCAAACCCAGTGCCTTCCATGTGCTCAACAAGTGCTTGCCTCTGAGCCACACAACCCCAGCCCCTCCATTAATTCTTTATATCCACTCATACATCCTTTGCCAATTCAACTACCTCAACCACTCATAAATCTAACCTCTCCATCCATTCATTTAATTCAATTTAACTGTACTACTCATTCATTTCATTCATCCATTTCTCCATCCATTTACCTGCCAACAATTCAGTCATAACAACCTGTCAACATACTTTTTTCYCCCAACCTTTTCTCCCTTCTAATCTGTGGAAGATCCATCTTTTTCCCCTCAACCCACCATCCAGGCTTCAACAACATCAATCCAGCTAGGAGAGGACTTCACTGCGACCTGTATTATTCTGGGTGAACCAGAGATTACTGTGGATTTTAACTGGAAATATCCAGGACAGAGGGTAAGCAGAGGGCAGGAGGAGTTTGTGTGCATGTGTATATGCCATGGAAGTGTGTTGGGGCAGAGGGGTGGGAGTGAGGGATTGGAATGAAGGCCAAGAGTGATCATTGCAAAATGGAACCATTGTTGGGAATTGATGAACCTAGCCCCAACTGTGACACTGCTTCCTGAGTGACATGGGGCAAGTCATTTCCTTTATCTGGGCTTTAGTTCCCTCATTTGTCAAATAGAGCTACCTTTTGGTTCACTGCCAAAGAATGTATAATTTCTTTGTTAATTTATGCAATAATTACTAAGCATTCACCACATGCCAAACATTGTGCCAGGGGCTGACACTATAATGATGAGTCAAAGAGTTATGGCTTCTGCTACCTGGAAGCTTATACTCAAAGCAGGGAGGAGAAGAGGGAGACAGACACACCTAGTCATGTAGGTAGTGCCAAGAGCTACAGTGACAATAAAGCAGAGTGATGTGATTGGGTCTACTTAGGATAGAGTGGTCAGGGATTCATCTTCAAGGGCATGACCAGGCTGGTCCCAACCAYACAAGATGAGGCTGGAGCATGTGCTCAGTCCTGTGGCTGTGTGTGTGATAGGAGATGGGCCACACATCACAATGGCTGTTTCCTGGGCATCCATTGTGGGCACAGAGCTCTGAGGTGGTGTTAGAGAGTGGGTGGTGGTGACATTCTCTCCTCTCCAAGAATTTACCCCTGCCAACTTCAAATATCTGGAGGACATCTGTGCCAAATAGTAGTATGCTACCAACACCAAGGACTTGAGGAATTCTTAAAAAGCCTTTCTGGAAGAGCTGGAATTTAACAGGAGTTTGGAAGTATGGGTTTAGGTAGGTGGAAGGCCTTCCTGGCCCATGGCAGTAAAAGCAAGGGTGCGCATGTCCCTCATACAAGACCAGAGACCCACCTCTCTCACTAAGGTGGTCTGAACATGCAGGGGAGCAGCGTGGTCCATTCTAAGAGACCCAAGAATCATTCTCCAGATTCTGAGGACATCGACAAGGCCTGAGCAATGAGCTGACCTTGTATAGGTCAAAATGGGAAGAGTGGAACCGAAAAACCTGTGAGGAACTGTCCCCCGCCAGAGGTGACTTAAGAATAGAATCGGGGTATAGCTTCGTGGTAGAGCACATGCCTGGCATGCACAAGGCCCTGGATTTGGAACCCAGTGTAAGTGTACACAAAGTACAGGATGGAGAAATCAGGTGTTCTGTAAGCTGTGACTGTTCCATAAGATCACCATCTTTAGCAGTCCTGAAAGGAAGGCCTGTGGAACCCAGCCAGCGTGTTCAGTTCCTCCTTAATGTAAAGTGCTCCAGCAGCACCTTACTCCAGTCTTCAGTGGTCTGAACCAGTACATCATGAACTCTCTGAGTTGATCTCTGTGTTCCTGCAGTGAGAGGCCAAGGATTGGTCCCAGTTCAGATGTCTTACAGTGACCTTAGGAGGTAGAAAGGGTGAGGAATTTGTCAGAGGAAGAAACAGACCCACGAAGGGAAAATGAAGAGGTGGTTTTGAGCTACATGGCTTGATAAGTGAGCATTTCCCTAAGCCTGTTCCTCAGGGTGATAACATGCCACAAAGTTCTGTCCCACGCTGCCCCACTGCCCAAAAATGTGTTCAAGAAAACACCGCCTCTGCGAAGTATCACTGGCACTGGACATTCAAAATACATGCACAGGATGGATTCAGCGGTCTGTTTCTAATTTTCCTTTGTTTGACTCAGTGTTTCCCAAACATTTCTGATGATGGAGTCTGCACTTTACCCTCCTTATGGAGGTAGCACCCAACAACGTCCCTATAGAACCAGAGGACCCAGGAACGCCCACCAGGAAATGCTGTGACCCATGTTAACTTTGGAACATTTTTGTTTCTTCCTTTTTTTCCCCTTTCTTTTTGGTACCAGGGATTGAATTCAGAAGTGATTTATACCACTTAACTATATATATCTTCAGCCCTTATTATTTTTTAGTTTGAGTCAAGGTCTTGCTATGTTGTTTAAGGCCTCACTAAGTGGCTGAGACTGGCCTCGAACTTGTCATCTTCTTGCCTCGGCCTCCCGAGTTGCTGGGATTATAAATGTTCCTCGCTGTGCCTGGCTGGAACGCTTCTTGAGCAGGAAAGGGGAACTCAGCTTCTCTCTAGGAACTAGAGAAACTTAAAGGTTTTCTTAGAGAACCTGCCTTTTAGGTGGTCTGATACCATGTGTCATCAAGTGTGGCTTTGAGCAATCACTTTCGCTTTGTCTGAAGAGATACACGGTGCCTCTCACCGGCTTGCTGGTGCCTGAGTCAGAAATGGCACCAGGGGTAGCTAGTGAACATTTTCATTTTTGTCCCCTGCAGCTGAGCTGTACCCCTATGTCAGTGAGCGGTCCAATGTGATACGCCAGGAGGGCCAGGTACAGCGGGCAGCAGCAAACACCTGTGGTGGCAAAGCTAGGACCAGTGGGGGGAGGGGGGCAGGGGGGGCTCAAGTAAGTAGCTGAAGAGGGATCCCAGAACCATCGGTAGGCCACCCAGGCCCAGGGATTTAGTCTTCAAAGATCCTTGCCACTGGCAGAAGCCCCCAGTGAGAATTTACCTCCTTCCTCTTCCAGAAAAACACAGAGACCAAATAAATAACTTATTGCATGTTTTAGTTTCCATAGCTTGTCGGCCCCAGAGTAAAGGTATGACCAGAGTTGATCTCTTATTCACACCCACCACAGGGTACACAAAGGAAGCCCCTGCTCACCACAATGTGCCCCTTCCTCAGCCCTGCCCCTCTTGATTCAGAAGATGCTTTCTAAAGTGCATTCTGCAGCCTCAAGTGCTTTCAGGGGTCGGGTGACGGTGGAGAGTAGAAGCTTCATCAAAGAAGTTTGGAAGATGCTGGGGACTTGGTCCCCTTCTTGGAGAATTGCAATGCACTAGCATGTTTTAAGTTCTTGAGAGTCCTGCAGGGTGCAGATTTGTTTAACTTGATTGAACCTAGAGCTTCCCAAGATTCTGTGCAGTGGATTCTTTTTCAGTCATGCCTATCAATGTCCAACAGACTAGTGTAACATGGACACACTATGAAAAGAGTTGCATGAAAAATTCTATGAGCATGTCATTCCAGAGCTGGCCTCAGGGCCCCTAGAGAACCTGATTTGCCAAGGCTGGAAAAACAGCTCCACACTCCCCGAGCCCACTCTCTTCCCTGCTTAGCAAGGGAAAGGGAGAAACGCAGACACGTCTGAATTTCTAGAGTGGAATTGGATGGAGATTGTATCCAAGGGAATGAAAGAGGTGGTCGGGGAAGATGCCACCACAGAATATCTGATGGAAGAATGTGGACTGACTTTTCCCACCACCTGGTTCAGGGTCTGTGGCTGGAGCTGGGGGCCTCGGGCAAGATCCTTTGGCTCTTGTGTTCTGTTTGCTCTGCCTGCTAAGGAGGGAGAACACCAGGCAAGGGAGGGGTGTGAGGAAGCACTCTGATGAACATGCTCGGTGCAGGGGTTATTATTAGTCTCTAGCTGACCTGAAGCTTCCTGAGAAAAGACTAGAATCTACATGCTGTCATCCTGCTGAGGTCAGTCACTCCAGCCACCCCTTTACTGATGGAGGAGCTGAGGACCACATGGAAGCCTGGGGCCTGGGATCAGGGGTGGCAGAAGGAGGAGTGCAGGAAAGCCTGGAAGGGCAGGCGAAGGTAGAGGAAGGAGGAGAAAGGCTGTCATGGATCTGATCTTCCCAGACAGACAGGGGAGGTCCCAGTCCTGACTGTAGGGTCTGCTCCCCTTCTGGTTTCCTCATCTGTAGAGGGATGAGGTTGAATCTCTGCCTGTTGAGGGTCCTCAGACCCAGTAAAATGACACTGAGACTGAAGGACCAGGAGGGTTGGGGATGAGCCATGTCTGCCAAAGACAGAGGAGCTCTGGCCATTGGTCCTGGGCTGACCAGAGTCTGATACCAGGAGTGAGGCTGGCCAGGGTGGCAACCTGGTCCTGCTAGCCCCCAGGGCCTTCCGAGACTCCCTTCCAGTCACTGGCTTTTTCCCTGATCCACAGGATGTGTCTAACTCCCAGCCCTTAGTCAGACCTTCAGACAATCCTAGAATTGGACATTAAGTGACTTCAGTCATTTGATAGTGACTGCAATCATCTTGGAGCAGGGGTAAACTGAGGCTAAGAGAAGGCCCGGGCAGAAGTAGAACCCCTGGCAAAATTGGCAAGTCAGTGAGTTGGCAGCAAAGCTGATGAGCTGGGGCCAGAGGWTGTCTCCTCTGTCAGATGGCCAAAGTGGCACAGGCTGCCCCTGGGAAAAGCCTCAGAACTTTCCTGACATAGACAGACAGAAGGCAGAGGGAGGAAAGGCTTCTTCTTGCTTGTTCCCTGGGCCAACTCAAGGAGAGGCACTACTTGGGGCCTCCAATGCCCCATGGGTGATCTTTGTGACCCAAGCCCCCCTCCCCCCCCAGGGCACACTGGGCGTAGACCCAGGCTCCCCAACTCACTCCTACTCTTCTTCTTTCCTGGATAAAGAACTGGTAGGCTCTTGTTGTCTTCTCCAGAAAGTCTTTGGCAGGAGCTATGACCATAGGCATCATGGTGGGCCCAGACCCTGCCCCTTATGTGGCAAGGAAAGAGACCTCGGTGGGGGTAACAGAGGCCAGGGCGAAGGTAGAAGAGGCGTCAGCCCCAAAGACCCGGTACAGCAGTTCCTCCTTCTCCTGCTGCAGCTGTCGCCGCACCTGCGACTCCTTCTCCAGAGCTTCACGGGTCAGAAGCAGGTCTTCTGAGAGCTGCCTGTGGGTGCAGACAGAACCCAGGGTTGCTACCAGGAGCAGCTGCTGCAGGGACCAGCCTATCCCTCTGGGAGGCCTTCCTGAGCTAGGCCACCAGCCCACTCCAGGGCCACACCCCCCAGCCCCTGTGATTTGCAAGAGGCAATTCAATCTGTTGACCAAGTGCATAGTCCTCACAGGCAAACAATTCTGGTTGCTCTGAATCTCTGCTCCAGAACCTAGCCGTGTGATCTTGGATGAGTTCTTCACTCTCACTGAATTTCAGTTTCCTCATTCAATACATGGGAATAATAATAATAATAGGACTCAGGTCTTCGAATCATTATGAGGATCCCATGACAGAAGATAGAAGGTATTCAACAAGGTATGTCTGATACATGATATGAGCTTTCGTTTACAAAGTCCTTAGAATTGATTCATTCCACGTGAGCCCGTTCAACTCCGGATTTCCCATTTCCCATGTTGGGTTCTCCAGTAGAGTCTACTCATCCAAGACAGGGACATGCAGATAGTGACCAGGGCACTGGGACTTAGGTTTCTAGGCAGAGCTGGTCCATTGGGTTTCCTGACTCACATGGAAAAGGGAAGCCACATTCCCTAGACAGGTCCCACACCCACCTGTCAATACATTCCCTAGGCTCTTCTGAGACCCTTCCAACTGGAGATTTTGGCAAAAGGGGTGGGGTGGAGGAGAAGAGGCAGGGGGGATAGTTACCTTGACACCACCACCTGATTACGGGCTCGAACTTGGAGGTCCTCATATTCCTGTTGCAGGGTTGTGATTTTTTCCTCCAGCTTCAGGTTTTTTTCTTTCTGTAACAAACCAGAACAGGCTCAGAAAACTACCCAAAATCACATGGTCCAGCGTATACTATGACCTCCTTCTTATCGGTGGTCCCTGAAAACACTCATTCATTCTAGACAAGATGCTACATTTCATGGAGCAATAAATTCACCAAAAATAAAGCTAAAGAGTTAACAAATGGCTAACAACTTATAATTTTTCTACAGGAAAAAGTTAAAAACAAAGTACAGTCACTCCCATCTCACTTCTCCATCAGTTCATAGAAGAAAGGGTATTTTTTTGTTCTCATAAAGTCAGAAGGACGTGATCTATATAAACAAAATTAAGTCTGTATGTTTTATCATAAGAATGGTTCAACAGAATTTATAGGGAACATGTGAGATGGTCTGAGGATGTATAGACATGGGGAGGCCAGGGAGACTTCCTCTGGAACAGCGCTGTCTGTTTGGATTCAGCCCCAAGTTTCTTTTCCTTTTCCTTCCTTCCCCTCTACTGCCCCTCTTTCTTTCTTCCTGTGCAGGGGATTGAAGCCAGTGCATGCTGGGCAAATGCTTTACCACTGAGCTGCATTCCTAACCCCTCAGCCCTAGGTTTCTGAGGCCTCTGTTCTTCCAGAAACAGAACCACCTGTGTCCTCAATGCCCTCTGCTCTCCAGCCTTGTCCTTGAGGATCCTGGCCTCCCACATCTGCCTGACCTTTCAGCCTCTCCTCTTCCCTCAACCCCTCCCTGCCTATGACATGTGCTAGCTCCTCCTGATTAGCAAGCTGCCTGTCCCAAAGCATCACCCAAGTTACAGCAACCTAAGTAACCAAGAAAAATTCAGGACCCAGATGGCAAAGAGCCCCTGCCTGGACTGGCCATAGACCAGCTGAAGATGTGAGCTGTGGATGGCAGGTCAAGGCCGGTRTGAACCAGGCTGGGCTTCCCCTGCTTGTTTTACAAAGGATGTGCCCAGCAAACAGCAGCCTGAGGCTGCATCTCCTAGCCACAGACCACTGTTTCCATGAGGATCAGCCTCTTGTCTAGCTCATGAATCCGATCATTCTTCATCTCGATGACAAAGTGCAAGCTCTCCAGCTCCTGCTCCCAGAACTGGCTGGGACTCCCATAATCCTAGATAGGGACATAGAATGACCTCATCAGACCATCAGGTAGAGAAGGGCATGGACTACCTCCCTCCTTCCCATCCTGCCACCAGCTCACTGATTGACTTTCTTAAGTCCCATCCCTCTCTTGGCCTGTGGTTATGGGTCAATATGTTTCATCTCATTTGACTCTAATATCACCCTTTGAGGCTTGTGTAGTTCAAGTAGGTTGAGTTGTCTGTGCTAAGTGTTGGGTTTCCTATGTCTACCTGGTTCTGTCTGGATCCATAAGCTGTGTCCTTTACTGAACCATATGCCTTTCTCTGAGCTTCTCAGTGAAAGGGGGGGACCCTCTTGCTTCCAGGCCCTTGTGAAAGTGACAATGTCAGGTCTGAGCCTTGCCCTTGAAGATGGGCTCACCTGTCCGGTTGTCCAATCCTAATCTCCCTGGAGAATCAAGAAGGAAAGGCCCCCAGGTGTATTACACCTACCTGAATGTGTTTCTTATAGTTTCGCCTCAGAATGGACTCTTCTACCCTCTTCATCTTGGCCTGAAAGGCCTCCAGTTGTGAGGTCAGTCCTGCTATGGTCTCCTGGAGAAAGGAGCAGGAAGGAGGTGATCAAAGTTGGGCTCATGAAAGTGGATGTCACCAGACCCCAGAGAAAGAAAAGTTTGGGGTTCTTTGGCCTAACCTATACAATGATGCAGGTGTAACCTTCTTCAACCACTGCCTGAAACATCCCACCTCACCTCTTGCTATATAGCCTTTTGTGGCTCCACAAATCCTTGGGACAAAGAACAGTGAGCCTGGCATTCAAAGCCCATCCAAACCAGGCTCAATTCGTTTTTCCAGCCTTATCGATCTCTGCTTTTCCTGTGGCCAAACATTATATCATTCCTTCAACCATAAGGGACATTCTTGTCTCCAGTTTTCCCTTGCTAAGAATTTCTTCCCCTCAGACTTTGACCATTGCCTTCAGCAGAGAATAGCCTCCTAATATGGCTTACAGGCTCCTACCTCCTGGCCTTCTCCTTCCTCTTCAGCCTCAGCCTTTCTCCCAAACTCTACACCCCAGGCATTCTGCACTTCCTACAATTCCTCAGGTGTTCCACAGTCTCTCTCCCTTTTCCGCTGTGCTTTTTGAAAATATTGCTTTATTCTACATAAGGCACACTCACTTCTTATCTTTCTTTACTGAACCTATCCTTCAGGTTCCAGCTAAGATATCACTTTCTCTAAGAAATCTTCCCTAAGCAGTCAGTGAGTGTCTTCTTTGAAGATTTCACAGGTCCCTGGGCATCTACCAGAGCTCTACTCAAACCRTAGCCCATTCAGTCGCCAAGATCCTCCCAATAGTCCTTGGAAAAACAGGACAACCCTAATCACATCTTGAGCTAAGAATCTAGTCACCACATTAAGGGGCCTGGACACATGGAAGATAGTCACTTTGGCCCCTCAAACCTGGAAGCCTTCGGTTTGGGTCTTTCCCTAACCCCACTATACACTGACATGGCCCAGCCCTTCTCACCTGAAGGGCAGCTTTGGCCTCCTGGAAGGAGTGGGTAAGGGCTTCTTTCTCCTTTTCAAATGAGGCCTGGATGACTGTGGGGAAAGAAGATCTCTATAAGCTCAGATACTTCTCCTCAAAGCCTTCTGGCAAGTCCCTAGGGTCAGGAAGATGCAAATAATCTCCTGGGTCACATTTGGGCCAGAAATGGGGAATGACCTGATCCATCCTTCTACTCTCTAGGCTTACTTGAGAGCTGTGCCGGAAATATAATAGGTATTTAGTAAAAGTTCATGGAAATGGAAACAAATTATATCCTAGTTCATAACTGTGAACTCCACCAGACTGTGCATGCCAACCATACCTCACTGAGGCTATGATCCAAAGATCTCATAGCAAGTTTGTCTACCTTGTACTAGGTCATGTTAAATTCAGAGCGCCAATGCTTTGTAAACTGAGTTAGCCAAATCACAGTCATTAAATTATTGCCTGTCAATCAAAGTACAAAACTATTGCCCATACACTGGATTTGTGGCCTGGAAGTCTACCTGGTCCTTACTCTGCTTCTTCAACACTGAGACCTTGAGAACATCACATCAAACATCTAAGAGTCCTGTTGCCTCAACTGTGAAATGGGTCAATAAGCCTGCCCTGATTGTCTCCAGGGCTGACTCAAGGATCATATAGAAAAGGACTGGTAAGAGCTTTCCAGGTGAGGCAAGGTTGTACAGATCTGGAATTGTTATCACTTTCAAAATCAGTACAGTTATATTTATCATCCATCTTCCCATTTTGAAAAATTCCAACCTGTCTCAGCTGAAAGAAGACAATAGAGAAATGGCAAATGGCCAGGAAAAAAAAATGAGAACAAAGAAGACAGGAATGGGAAGTTTAATACTTTGTCCTTTAATTGACAAGAAATAATTTAATGACTTTGTGACCTGGCTAACCTAGCTTACAAAACATTGGCCCTATGCATTTTTCATGGCATGATATGGTACCAGGAGACAAGCTTGCTACGAGAACTTTGGATCTTGGTCTCAGTGTGGTCAGCATGCACAGTTGAATAGGGTTCACAGATATAAACCAAGGGGGACAAGAAGATGGTAGTGACATCAAAAAGAGTGTTTGATCAGTAATATGATGTGATAGAGCTGTCAAAAATTGGTAAGACCAGTTGTATAAGAACTAATTCCCTAATTTTTTGTTAAGTTGCCTATTAAGACAGTATAAAGTAAGATCAAAGAAACACACTCCATCCAGTCTGTCCAACTGTGTAGCTATAAAATCTGGACAGAATGAATGGTGCACTTATTTGTGGACTCTGAAAAATAAATAGTATGGTGGGCACACAACTGAGTCACCGGTCCCAGCAGCTTGGGAGGCTGGGGCAGGAGGATTGCAAATTTTAGGCCAGCCTTGGCAACTTAATAGAACCCTATCTAAAAATAAAAATTAAAATGGCTGGGGACGTAGCCCAATGGTAAAGTACCCCTGGGTTCAATCTCTAGAACTGTAAAAAGGAAAACAAAACAAAACAACAACAACAACAACAACAACAAAAAAAAAGGCTGTAGCAGACTAGGCCAAAGATCAGAATTTGAAGTACCAATGAACTAGCACATTTAAACAAAACCCAAAATCTCTTGTATTCAAATACTGAAAATGTCCAGAATACAATCCAAAATTGTTCAGCATATTAAGAACAGAAAAATATCAACTTGTCTACAAGACATTCCACAGATGCCTATATTGAGATGATATAAGTGTTGGAATTAATGGAGTCTTTAAGACAGCCTTTATAATAATGTTCCAAGAAGTAAGCGTGAATACACTCTTGAAAATAATGGAAAACAAGAAATTCTTAGAAAAAAATAGAAGATGAAAAATTAAAAAAAAGAAAATTTTAGGAGTAAAAATGTGATTAAATGAAAGAACTCATTCTCAAAGAGGAAAATCAATAACTGAATGAAGATGATATAAAAAAGAGCCACTGTACTTCAAGAAAGATCAATAGAAATGATCCCTTCTGATCAACACAGAGAAAAAAAATATTGGAAAAAAATGAACAGAGACTCAGGCACCTGTAAGATAATCCTAAAATGTCTAACATTTTATATCACCTGAGTCGAAGAAGAAGAGCGTGATATGGAAAGATTATTGAAGAAAGAAGCAATCTGGCAAAATATAGACCTTTCCAGATGAAAGCAGCTCACTGAACCCCAGAGTAAACCAAGCAAAACCCATACACAGATACAGAAATCCATACACATTTCTGAAAACCAGTGACAAAGAGTAAATCTGGAACGGAACCACAAAAAATGGTACATTACTAATGGTACATTAGGGAACATCAGTTTGGATGAATGTGGATTTCTTATCAGAAACCTTGGAAAGTAGGGGCTGGGTTGTAGCTCAGTGGTAAAGCCCTTGCCTAGAGCCTAGCATGTACAAGGCCCTGGGTCCCAGCACTGAAACAAAACAACCCCCCCCCC